TACTTCCTACAGAGCCACTGGAGAGATTTCCTTTCCAAAACAAAATGCATCAGAGCTTCACTTGGGCTCTCAAGAATCAAAAATGAGTAAGGTTGGAAGAGACCACTGAAGGTCATCTAGTCCAACCCCGCTGCTCAAGCAGAGTCCCTAGGAGCACATTACTCTGGATTGTGTCCAGCAGCTTTTTAACATCTTCAGGGAAGGAGACTCCCCAAGGTCTCTGGGCAACCTACTCCACCAAGAACCATTTCAGAAGCAGATTTTTGGAATTTGCTCAGCAACAACCAGGAAACAAGAATTACAAGGGAAGATTTGCTTACTTTGTTGTTTCCAAAGCAGATTTTTCTTTCATGCATGGATCAGGACGGAGCTAACCCTATAACACAGCAGAGAAAGCAGAGCAGTCAAGGTTATGGGTAGCTCTGGCTCAGTGTGAAATGGTGATTCACACAAAGTCAAGCAAGCAGAGACTGACTGTAATACAAATGAAGACTGAGAAGGAAAAAGATGTGGATGCAAGGCAGTGCAATGGTGAGTCTTGAGAACAGGACATGGTTCAAGGCTGTGACTCCTCGCCTGGACAGGGCAATGTTGTCTGATGATTCCAGCAAGGGAGTCAGGAGGATTGCCCCAACCCAGATCACTGCTGACTCTCTAATCAGCTGTCTTGTTTAGCAAATGAAAATATTTTTGCACTTTGCAGGAAAACTTCTCTATCTTTTCCAAACTGATTTGATAATCTGAAATGAAATGACAACTACTTTCGAAAATGCTCCCCTAAAAAATGGAGATGGGTGAAGAGACACACAAAAGGCATGTACATGACCCAGGTGTTACATACCCAGGTGGATATAGCAGGGAGGTGCTCTCATCTCTGCATCTGACGTGCAACAGCCATACAGGGTGAACAGCCCTCACTCACCACCATGCAGGAAGATGTGCACTACTGCTTATCAGGCAGCTCCAGGCAACTTTGCTTGCTGCCTTCCCATCCCTGGTGCTGCAGGTAGCCAAGGGCCCTGAGATGACAGAAACAAAGGATAAGCTCATCAGGGGAACAAGCAGCAGGAGAAGAAATGAAACCGAAAGGTTTTTGAGGAAATGTTTGTGTGAGGCTTCCACGAGGTGTCAGCAACAGCTATTATTCATCAGAGCTGAACAGAGTGCCTGGGGCTACCATCCGCCTCCTCACATGGCACGTCCTCACCAACGGAGAACAAATCCTGTCTAGTGACTGCCAGCAGCTCTGCCGCCGTGTCTCTGCACAGGATGACCAGTCTCTGTCCCCCGTCTAACAGAGCAGAGCAGCAGAGGGTTGCCCATGCCTAGCCCAGACCCCAAGGACCAGAACAGTATACTTGCATATTATCCCTGACCTAAAGAACTCGCCAGCTGAAACAGGATGGTCAAAGCAGCATTACTGCATCCTGTGTGCAGAAGGGATACTGGTGGCAGAGAGATTAAACTGAAGATCAGTGATGTACCTCTGGTGAGAGGGGGACATACAGTGTGTATATTCCAGCCCAGCACCCCTACCACAAAACCCATGACTCTCCTCATTCCTTACTTCACTCTGAAGATGTGCAGTTTTAACTAAATAGGACATTAGGCATTTCTCTCTGACTTGTTGATGAAGATCCCAGAGGCTAAAAGTGAAGTGGCAGCTGTGCTGCTCCAGCCCACCAGGGATCTGGAGCTGTTGTCTAAGCTCTGCTGACCTTTAGTCCTGAGCCTGCCTTTCTCCAGAAGAGCCTGGTAAGGGTTCAGCGTTAAACCCATGCACGAATTCTTTGCAAGGACTGGAGTAAACCCTGTATCCTTCAGCTCTATTCAAGAAAGAGGACGTGCTCTTTGCCCATCTTCAATCTCATGCTCAAACCCAGCACTAGACTATGTTCAGTGTACTCCCTGATAGTGCCTATTTTTATTTTGCTTTTAATTACACACACAGTCAGGTCCATTATGTCAAAATTATCCTACCCTCAATTTAATGAAAGCCCTAGGAAGCAAATGACGTCTGCCACAAGAAATGGCAGAGCTTTTCCCTTCGTCTGATTACGTTGCTGGGGTTTCCGTAGTATTAAGAAGGTTTTGCCCGATTGCGTAGTTGGGGTTTCCGTAGCGTTAAGAAGGTTTTAGTTGGTCACTGGCTGGAGAAACCAAAGGATCAAGATCCCAAAGGAGGGTGAAGATGAAAATAGCTCTGAGAGGATACGTCACGTTACTTGGATGTGGCTGCACCGATAGAGTAATCTCTGTCATGTGCCAAGGAACCTGTGATAAGCCTTCTCATAGTTGGATTGGTAATAAGATCAGCTGCTTAATTCAAAGTGATTAAAACCAGGCTGGACTGCAAACAAACAAATCACGTTCATGGGTCTGTGATAAAAAATATACATATCAGAAAAGTAAAACTTTTCTGGGCTGCCCTGTTACATTATTAGAGCTGAGAACTGCACCCTATGAACAATTTTGGGGCCAAATGTAATCTTGTGCAGCCCATAGACAGGCTGCCCTTCCTACATGCAGGCTCCCACTTCAAATGTATGTGACAAGTACAATTTGCAAAGGGTTACCCACCAGCTGTGAGGCTGAAAGGACTTGGCATGCTCTGGCCTATTTTTAAGCCAGTGCTGAGGCCCAAAGCACACTGTGGTTGTAACCATTCCCACTACTTCCGTAGGAGAGCTTGGCCTGTGGATAACAATCTCACTTCTACACCAAAGACATTAATTTCCTATGAAAAAGCCAGTTTAGCTTTGCAACTGTGCTAATGCCTTGCCTTTGGGCTCTGGCACCACTTGGCTTGCCCAGGCATATGTGCAGGATGAGTACAAAGGGCTGGACAACCTGACATGACCACACCGGACATCCAAATCAATGGCAATGTCCTAGCAACAGCTAGGAAAGGATTTGGGATTCTCACCAGGGCATCCCCCAGAGCAGGAAGCACACAGAGATGTGGTGGGTATCACTGCCATCAGCATGGGCAGCAAGGCATGGGCAGACACAAAGGAAGGGCTGTAGAAGCAGCTATTTTTAAACCATTTCTTTCAGTCCTGCACTTCGGTACCAGCTATCCCATCGCTGCAGTGATGGGACGTGACTGACAGGTCAGTGCCCTGGTGGTAGCAGGGAGTGGTGAAGCGGCTGCCTTTAATGGGTTTTCACCTGGAATCGGAAACAAGCAGTGAAAGAGGATTTCCTATGCCCTGGCCAACATCCAAGACACCAGGAGCCACGGTGGATCCGCAGGGATCCTCGGATGACAAATTGTGCTGACAAACGCTGGACGTAATTCTCTCCGGCAAAGCAGATCAGTGGATGTTATCCTTCTTCTATTTGCTTCCCTCAGATGTGGTCAGCAAGAGTTTTTAAGTGTGACAGTGGCACACAGTGTCCTGCCCAGCTCCCCCACCTGCCTGCAACCCCCACACGGACCCCCAGGGTTTGCATGAGCATTGCTTGGCAGGGAAGAAGTTACAAAGCAAAGCAAGCACAGTTTAGGCATTGTTTCCCTGGCTGAATGCTGGTTCAGAAGAGGCACAACAAAGGGGATGGCTGTTCCTCGCCAGCTTCTTACTCATCGCGGTCATCAGGACAGTTGGTAGCATGACGTGGTTTCCCTTCCTGCCTCCCTGAGCAGCTTCACAGAGAGGGCTGCAGGGAAGCGGAGCATTTCAGCATTTCAGCCCCTGTCTGGTGATCCCCCTGAATGTGCACAAGTGTCTCCCATTCCAGCAGCAAACAGCAGCAGCAGGACAACTCCAAGGACAGAGAAATCAGAGCTGTGGCCTGTGAGCCCATTAGCAACTGGCATTGCTCACCTGCAGATGCCAGAGAGTCTGATCTTCCTGACTGAGAGGACAATGGCTGCAAGAGGGGGAGACACTGGGCCAAACACACAGAGGAAGAGGGAAATGGTCTCAGGGAGTCAAGGATGGAGCAGATCCCAGTATTTGCTATCAGTAAGGAGGCCTTAGGAGAGAGCAGATCCCAGTAATGCCAGCACTTGCTTTCCCAGTGTGTGACTGGGAAAGCAAAATACACACACATTTTAGGGCCAAGGGACTGCAGGTGTCTGTTGCAGGGCTGCAGGCAGTGCCATGACCATCTCCTTGCTCTTCTGTAGCCCAAACCTGACAGATGCCTGTCAGAGGGAATGGCTGTGGGTAAATGTCACTCTCTGGAGACATCCCAGAGACACATGTTTGGCCAAAGCACGTGTGCAGACACATGCGCTGGCCAAAGGGCAGTGCTAGGCTCCAGCCTGAGCCACCCACGGGGGCCAAGAAGTGGCATCGGCCAGGCTGGGCCCTGGCAGGGCAGGCACGGGGCTGTGACACCGCCTGCCCCGGCACGCGTGTACCCGGGCACTGCACGAATGCAGTCCCCACGCCCGGGAGGCCGCGTGTCCCACAGCCCCTGGGCACGCCCGCTCTGCCCAGACGCCATGTGCCCGTGAGCCATGTGTCCAGGCTCTGGCGTGCCCCGGATCCTCCACATTCAGGATCCCATGCCCCGGGATTCTGCACCTCCTGCTTTCTCCAGGCTGCCCCATACCCAGGACACCATATACCTGGACTCCATACCTTTGGGAGCCCATATCCCTGGGACCTGACACCCCAGAGAACCCCGATCCCTACACCCCCGGGACCCCACACCCCCCTACTCCAGGAGCCCCATATCCCTGCGACCTCCTGCTCCTGGAAGCCCCGATCCCTCCGCCCCAGGGCCCCCCACGCCCCCGCCCCGCGGCATTCCCGCCCCGCCCCGCGGGACTCCGCGCCCTCAGCCAAGTTTCTTGGAACTTTGCCTCCCGTGACGCACGCGCGGGCGCCGGGCCCCGTCCTCCCGGCGCAGCCAATGGGCGGCCGGGGCGCCGGGGCGGCGGCCAATGGGCGCTGTCCGGACAGTTCCCGGTCCTGACCGACCTTCACCGCCCGGGCGGGGGGGCCGATAAAAGGGGCCCGCGGCGGCGCGCGGCGCTCCCGCCTCCCGCCGCTCCACTGCGGCACCGCGGCACCGGCGGGGAGGTGAGCGCCGGGAGCGGGGGGAGGGAGGGACACAGGCCGTTCCCGTGCACCGGGCCCCGTGCACCAGGGATGTGGGCGTGCTGTGCGCTGCCCGGAGGCCGTTTCCCTGTACCGAGTCTCCGTGCCGGGAATAAGGGTGTCCGGTGCACGGAGGCATCGCGGGGAGGCCGTTTCCCCGTACCGGGTTCCCGTCCGCCAGGGACACGGGCGTCCTGTGCGCTGCGGGGAGGCCGTTTGCTTGTACCGGCTCTCCGTGTACCGGGGACACGGTTATCCCGTGCAGCGGCAGCAGGGAGGGAGGGATGGCGATGTCTGCTCCGGGGTACGGTGTCTCCCGCACCGGGCCGTCGCGCCGGCGGGGAAGCGGGCGGGCCAAGGCGGCGAGCCCCGGAAGCAGCGCGGGGAGCCCCGGCCGCCCGGCACTGACCGCCCGTCCGCTCCCGCAGGTCCGCGCCGATGGTGGGAGGCAGCCCCCGGCGGAGCCCGGCCGCACGCCATGCCCTGGAGCGTCCGCTGGGTCGGCGGCTGCGGCGCCCAGTCCCAGAAGCAGTGCAAGAAATCCTCCTTCGCCTTCTACCAGGCGGTGAGGGACCTGCTGCCCGTCTGGTTCCTGGAGGATATGCGGACCATGGAGGCGTTCCACTGGGAGGACGGGGGCAAGGTGAGCGTCTACTCGCCCTCGGAGGCGCTGCTCTACGCGCTGGTGCACGACCACCAGCCCTACGCCCGGCACCTGCTCACTAAGTTCCCCCAGAGCGCCCTGGCTGTGCCCAGCCAAAGCTTCAGCTGCTGCCAGTCGGCCCCGCACCTGGCCATGGCCGTCCGCTACAACCGCGTCCGGGTGCTCTTCCGAATCCTCAAGGCCATCCAAGCCTTGCCCCCGAGCGACAGAGCCGCGCACCTGGACCGCCGGGGCTGCAGCCGCGTGGAGGGCGGCAAGACAGCCTTGCACATGGCCTGCGACCTGGTGCGGCCCGAGTGCCTGCTCCTGCTGCTGGGGCACGGCGCGGCGCCCTGCCTGCGGGACAGTGCCGGCAACACCCCCCTCGACACCCTGCTGCAGCAGATCTCCCACCTGCCGGCAGCGAACATGCGTGCCAAGCTCCTCTGCCTCGACTGCCTCTTCTTCTTCGTGCCTCAGGACCTCAAGTTTGCGATGAAACAGCAACTGTTGGACAACCGGCAGCAGTGGCTGGACCTCCTGGGAGAGAACAGGTTCCAGTGCCTGGTGGGCTTAGCTCCCCCATCGCTGTTTGTCAGAGCCATGCGTGTCTTGATCAGGACCATTTCACCTGAGCACTTCCCAGAGGCTCTGGATAATCTGCCTCTGCCTCATTTTCTAAAGCCTTTGGACTTGAAACTGGAGAGCTAGAGGGGTGGTATGAGAGCCTCCCGCTCACCTGACAGAAATAGACTTGTGCTAAAAATGTAACATTATACAAAGCTGCTAATGCAGTGGCCAAGTATCTGTTTTACTGAGAACAGTATTTTTTAAAAGAACTGTATCCGGCACTTTACAATATATTTTATTTAAAGATCTTTGTGAGGTGAGGGCCATGCTGCATTTTATAAAGATGTTCTATGGCATGTACAAATGAGGGTATGGGGAAGAACATATTTGTAAATACATCCAAATAAATCAGTGGCAGATGTGATCAAAATACATAACAAGCAACTGAAAACCCTGGAGTGGCATGTGCCTTGAAAGAGGGTATGCAGGGTGGGGGAGTATCTTTTTGTTAGGATTTCCCTGTTACATAAGGCTCGCCATCCTGGAACAGGATGACTCCTTTTTACAGCTCTCCTAATACATCTTGGCAGAGATGCAGGGTTTTTTTAAAGGCACAGATGAAAACTTCCTCATCTTCTACACAAGACCAAAGAGAAGCCAGATACTGTTACAACTTCCCTAAACAAGGCTGCCAAGGATATGCATCTGAACAAAATGTATTTTAAAATATACATAAATAACAGTTGGCTTCCTTGTAAAGTTGTTCTCTGTTCTCCTTGGAGGGCCAAGGTGTTTGTTGTCAGGCAGAGAGAGACAGAGCACACGTGTTGTGTGGCCAAAAATGTACCTGCCCTGGCCAGGCTGGACCCTGCAGCCCCTTTGGGTGATTGCTGCAGGGGAGGAGGGTAGCACAGAGCAGGAGAGCCAGCCTGCTATTGCCAGGGAGGGGGATGCAAGGGTGTGACAGTGGCCCAGGATCCTAGATCATGGCTTTTTCAATGGATTCTGGCCACTCCACTGCCACTCCCCATCAGTGTGTGATGGCACAGGTTCAGCTGAGAGCACCATGAGAGTCTTGCTGTTCACTCTGGGTGCCAGAGGAGTAGCTTAGATATCCAAACTTTCCCCATCTATCCCTTCTGAGGTGCTCCAAGGTAGAAACAACATCCCCATAGCTGCTCCAGATCAAAAAGCCCTTTTGGGGTAATGTCCTATGTCCTCCTTCCAACACTTCTGTTTTGACCAAGCAAAGTGTACAGCTTCAGTTCCTTGCTCTGCAGTCTTAACTTTGCAGCATTTTGGGCAGTACCTGGTTAACTGGCACTGCCCCTGTGTGCTCTGCAGGGAGCTGTGCTGGCTCCACCAGCCCTGCAAATGATAGAGGTCTCCTAGGACACAGCACTGGAGCCTTGGCTCCGTTCTTGGAAGCTGTCATTGAAACTGTAGGGTTTTGTTTCAGGGCTTAAATTCGTAGCCAGGGAGCTGTTTGCCGCTTGAACCATTTCAGGACTGCTGTTCACTCTAGGGTCATCAAGGAATTGAATGTGCTTAGGAGAGAAGAGCCATGTTCAAGGCACAGATTTCTTTATTCATTAATTAATTTTGGTTAAGGAATGAAAAAGCCACAGAATTAGGCACTATAAGCTGTTCCTGTTTCAGCAGAACAGAGTAGTATTTAATCTAAAATAATCTCCGTACTGCATGCACAATAAAAGATAAGCCATGCTTCTGAAATTTGAGAAAAACAGAAAGAAGATTGCTATTCTTAGCCTGATACCACTAAAAATGTTTTCTAGAAGAGAAAATGTTCCTTTTTCCTAAGAAACGAAACTCATACATGCTCAAACCTATTACCATGGGAAATTCAAATCCCTTGCTGGAAAACATGGAAAAATTCTAACTCTTCTCTTCAGCTGCCTTGCTGGTTATAAAAATACAGAAATCCAGAGAAGTAATCCTAATCTTCCAAACCTAGCCACTTACAAAAAATTACCTATGTTGCTACATTCTTTATTAGAGTCCCTGTTCCCCATTGCTTCTGGAACAATGGTGTGGAAGCATCTTTCCAAACAGACAAGTAGTAAAGGAGTCAGGTCTGACTTACACATGGCAAAGTTTCCAAGGTGAGGTGGGGGAAGAGACAGAGGGGGTTTGGGTGGGACAGAATGTTTACCAGCTCTGCTGACAAAGACATAACGAGATTCAGCAGTAGAGGGCACTTGCTTGAACTGCAGGAAAACGCTCCTGCTCCCAAGCTGTGAGAGCAATTACACACTGGAACAGCACAACAGGCTGGGCAGGATATCCTACACCTCCAAATGAGCCCTTGAACAAAACACCAATGTAAAGGCTGCCCTGTGACTCTCTGCAGCCCTCCCACCAGCTCTGGGGTAATCCACTGCAACAAGCAGAGCTGATCCCCTCGACGTGTCCCGATGGCTGCGAAGGCAGCCAAGTGCTGTGCCCTTCCTGTTACTCTGGGACAGGAGGCAGACTTGGTGCCAAGCCCACGCTGGGATGGCTCTGCCCAAGGTCACAGCAGCCCTCGCTGTGTGTGGCTCGTTGATGTCTGCCATGCTTCATCTGGAGAGGAGCTGTGGGCAACATGCACCGGTGGGCACACGGAATTGGCATTGGAAACAGAAGTCTTTTGTTTATAGACCAAGCAATAGCAGCATCATCTTTCCTCAGACTGACCTGCCAGCACATCTCTGTCTTCTGCCACCTTTAGGGCACAGTGGAGTGCAGGCTCCACAGCCTCTTCATGCTTCCATCCCTTCGAGAAGGCTACCAACCAAAGTACCAAGAAGTGCCAGCTTCATCACTACTGACAAACTTGATAAAGCAAACAGGGATGGTGATTATGTCACTGTACAGGAGAACTGTGGTGCTAGAGCCAGAAAGCTGGCCACAAAGGTGTGGAAAAGAAGATTCAGAAAGTCCTAACACCCTGGGAGCAGAGGGATAAGGAGATAAAACTTAGAAGCTTCCATCTTACCTGAACAGCTTAATCTTGTCAAATACGGAAAATTACTTATCCACAGAAAATGCTTTCTAAAAGCTTGCAAGACAGCAGACAAAACCAGCATTCCTGAAAAGCTTGGTTACAGTCAGTCCTCTAAAAAACTACCTTCTGTCAGGAAACAGTGATGAAATCTAAGAAATATGTCCCATGGGCTGCTCAAGCACTTTCAAACCAAAATATTCATATACTACCCACCTCGTAGTCCAAAGTAGCTTTATTTGCTGTGACAGGTAAAAAAGGCCTTAAACATTAATATTCAGAAAGCAAGGGGAAGGAGGAAGTACTAAGTTAGTTTTGACTCTGCAACTGGCTCCTCTTTGCCGTTCCCAAAATTTAGCCTGCCTAGAGTCTGCTGAAGGAGATGAAGTCTATTGTAATTTTGAGTAACTTGTTTAAAAGATGGGTTTGTGCTCTTTAACAGTCTTCCTTTACCCTGGCATAGAGGCAAAGAAAGACAGAGACTAGAAAGGGGCCAGGGTGCCAGGTTTGTTTCCTAATTTCCTATTTGTCCTATGTCTGCTGTTCAAGCCATATGGGTTTTTGATTTGCAATGTAAGAAATCTACTGACATCAGCAGATCCTTGTGCATTGCATCATCCCATCCAGGCAAACAAGGCACTCGTGCCATGTGCTTAATATTTAAAGAGCACTGTAAATCCTTGCAAACCAAGTTTCCTAAGTTAATAACAGTACTTGCATCCCAGCTTGGTGTCAGCACGTGTCTGAGGCTACGTAACCATTCATTCCCAGGCTGCCTTCTGTGGTGTCTCCTCCTCCACCTGCAATGTGTGAAAAGGAAGTTCTGCTTATGACTTGCTCAGGCCACATCCAATTGTCCTCTGTTACCAGGAATCTCCTCCATGGTGCTGCAAGGCTGCTGCTGGCACTGATTTACTCCTGCTCTTGCCACCACACAGGTACAGGTGCACGTGTAGCACAAGAGTGGAAGGAGCTGAGCTCCCCCACAAAACCTAACTCAGCAGGAAACACAAATACAGTTTGCAAAAGCATTAGAGATCCCTCCCTGCTGCTACAAGAAATGGAACCAAGTTCAGCTGGGGTACAAAGATTGCCCCCACTTGCCCTGATGACTTCTGAAATTACCAGTATCTGTTTGCCCAGTGGTTTAGTCAATAAATTTAAAAAAAAAGCACATAAATCAACAAAGCTAATTTCAGAAGCCTCAAACAAAGATAATTTCATAATGTTTGGGAATTACTGCTAAAGCCAGGAGAGCCTGGGCATCTAATGACCCAGGCCAGCAGTTCTTATGTTGAGCTTATCACATCTGATTGATTTACAGTATCTGTTTTAAATCCAACTTTACTTTATTGATCTTCTAACTGTGGTGCATCCAAGGCTCTCTGAAAAACCTGTAGCTGAGCCAAAAAAAGTTTCCATCCAGCTAACCTTGATCTCTCGTCTGTCCCTAAACCCCAAATCATCCCCTGCCATCAACTCTGCCTCCTTATTCTATAAGAAAAAATATTCTTTTCCTAATACAAATGTGAGAGTTAAACAAAATGGATCCGAATCAGCAAGGAGAGAGGCAAAGGAGCAAGGAAGGCAGAGAGGGACTTCGATCTGTCCCACACTTCAGCTTTCTGAGGAAGGTTTTAGCAAGTCTGAGCCAGTAACTGAGGATCCTGTGTGAGCTCCAGACCCTCCAGCCATTGTAAGGTTACATTCCCTGTACTGCAAATCTAATGGGAAGCAGAACAAATCAACACTTCTCCTTCAGGAAAGCAAATAAGGCCTGAAAAGCTCAATTCTCCAGTTCAGGAGCCATGGCAAGACACCTGCATGCCTGGGATATGAGGGGTGGCCCTGGACCTGTCTCCCCTTCCCTGTGCTCCCCAGCTAAGGCAAACACAAGGGCAATACATTCCATGGACCTCAACAGGGAGATGAACAATTAATGCTAGACAAGTCCTTCCCCAGGAAAGGAAAGCAGTGCAAAGAGGCCATGGAGGACAGAGACTTCCAGGCAGAAAGGGCTTGGCTCAGGCAGGCCAGGGAGCAGCTTCCAGCTCTGAGGAAGGCAGCACCCTCCCTGCATGGTTTGCTGTGAGTGCCACAGCTCCTGCCCCACGGTCTCATGGCTCTGAGACTCTGCTGTCCTCCCAGCAGTGACCAGGCTGTGTACACAGACCTTGACTCTGTCTGGAAGACTGGGCAGACCCATCTTCTCTCTCAGCCAGCAAAGCAGCTTTGCCTAAAATTGTCCCTCTGCTCCTTTGTTCCAGTCCCAGTGGTAATTACAGTTTTGATGTAAGGGGTGTTTTCTGTCATCATGCTCTTAATATTCAGACTTTATTTATAATCATTAGGGGTTTTTCTTTTTAGTCATGCAAGTAAATTGCAATAAACAGATACTACATCACACTTGTATTTTTAATGTGATGCCATTTTCCTGACAATGTTTGAGGCA